AAGGCGTGGGGTAATTTACCAAAACCAAATTGTTAAACGTATCTTTGTTATTATAGATATGATTTTTCATAAGATATAATAATGATAAGATTATTAGAGAGTTAATGTAACATAACTTTCTAGTAATAGTCCATTTTTTAAAAAATCATACATGAATTCAAGTCATGACTTCTGTTTTAATATATAAGATTTTAACACATATAAGACATATAAGACATATAAAAATAATTTTAAATGATATAAGACATATAAAAAGAATTACATAAACAATAAGGACATAAAATTTTAAATAAGCTTAGGACATCGAAAAAAATTTGAAAATGTTGGACCGGCACTAAGTGCAGAGAAAGTGAAAGCGGTGGTGAACCTACCGCAACGTTTTATTCCTGCGTTTCATAATTCTATTATTCAGTACAACAGGCGATGCCGAGTAGCTGACTACAATTAAGATCATTGGCGAGAGGCAAAAAAAAAAAAATTTCTTTCTTTCACAACAATAATAATTGTACAATATTGAAGAAGTACGTAGTGGCATGTATACTCAAAATGTGTAATATACATTGTAGGTAAAAAAATATCGAAAGAGCACACATATGACAAAAGCAATAATCCGGACGGGTTTTGGACTCTTCTTGATAATCAGTTACGTCTTACTAATCTTAAACCTAGAGTGGTGAATTTGTTACTAAGTTTTCAGCAGCAGCTCTTGCTTTTCGTGTTTAGTCTACGTTTAAAACGTTGGTTATATAATAAACAATCGTTGTAATGCAAGTTGCGTCTTTGTCAAATATTCTCTATCGCACTTTTAGCTTGTGTTCATTGTGAGTATCTGACACGCTACAAGGAATCTGCAGTTCCGAGACCGGTGACTGTAAATAATCCTCGACATTTTGAAATCGATTGAAGCAGCAACAAAAGTTGAGCTCAAACGGATCGACATTGAGGAAAATATCCAAGAAAATCGAAACTTTATATATCATTAATCCAAACATCTAATGTCTTTGTTATTCATTTGAAAGTACACATATCATGTTTCTGCAGGATCGGCGTTGGACAAAGCCGGATGAAACATTGGCATTGGCCCCCAATATTTTTTTGAAAAAATTACTTGTATATAGGCCCCAAAAAAAAAATTTTAGGCCCCCAAATCCGTTAAAAAATATTTTTAGGTGAAATCGTTAAGAAATCGCCTTAGGCCACATAATTCTCAGAGCCGGCCATGTGTTTATGTATGCAAAATTTAATATATCGTGTTCTTTTTTGCAAAACTTAAGTGTTATCTCATTTTTCTGTTTGTAAGCAACTTGAAATTTTGCATTTTGGATTCATGAATCAGCACTAATATGCATTTTTTTTGTAAAGGCCGCTAATATGCATATGTTAAAGGTTCATTATCATTTTTTTCCTTTTTCACGCAACATTATTTTTTAAACTGATTCTTGATTCTCTTAACTGTCGTGTGTAGGATTCTCTATGTTTTCTCACACTTTGATATATGCATCAGATGAAAAATTATGAGATTAAGATCTGATTTAAATCTCCTCAAGTGTGTCGGTTGGACTCGCTTGTTAGCTTCTCAACTGAGAATTGTATTTGTCTTTTTTTTTTTATTATAGTCAAATATTAGTCAAAAAGACTCAAAACAAACTTTTGATAATCATTAATTAACACCTCTTCTTTCTACTTGAGACAAGAATTGCTAATTCACTTTAAATTGGAGTATTATATTAATTTAGGAAACTAACTTTCTTATAACAAAATAACAAAAATTGTAAACTCATTTCAAATTTTCTTTTATAAATCTAAATGGACCTCTTTCCTAATCTGAAATTCTCGTAGGTATGTATCTATCCATCATTCAATCAATCTTTTTTCGAACACTCTATCATTCAATCAATCAATTTTTAGTTTTATCAATCATTTTTGGTTTTGTTCAGTGCATGCGGCTTTAATAATCATGCTTATTATTTTATTTTCCTCTCAATATAACATTTGTATGAAACGATGGCTGCAAAAGTTGGGAAATTCAGATCTCATGAATCACAAATAGTGCTTATGATTGACAAAAGAATTCCCAATAATTGCATCTATGATCTCTTTTAAAGGCATGCATATAAATAGGAATAATAAGAACCCCACATAAGGAGTATACCAATGATGAATAAGGAAATAGTTGCCAGTATTTAAATAATTGATTATGAAGAATACTTCTCTACTAATTTTACCATAAAATGGGAAATAACATAGGGCAAATATATTCATTTCAATTCCATAGGAACATGAAAAAAAATAAGAGAGAAATTTTACACATGTTTATACATGTTGGGAGATTTTACATTTACTTATCATGCCCATTTTTTAATATGCTATCCATTTATATTATTAAGTGATAATCATACTAGTCGATTCTCTGATGAGCATCTCTATCTATTTGTGTCTAATCTATATATAACATTTGATTTTTGTTTCTTTCGCTAACAAGTCTATTTGACCATTTATACTCAGAAGAATATGAATGAAGTTAACGTCTCCAAAGTCCTCCTATAATTTATGGAATAATTCAATTTTCTAACGTGAATATTGATCAATCCATAGGGTTTGTAGTCATATCTAATAGATCTGATCGGACCATCTCAAATCGTATCGAGGTTATCCACTTTATTCTCCATTTTTACTGTGACTACTACCTGTTTTACTTTCCTTCAAATCGAAAAATAAACTATCATCATAAACAAATTATAAGGTGGACTTTAAGAAAGAAAATCCAATTCCAAATCTAAAGCCACTATTACTAGAATATAGAGACAATGGTCGGCGGTTATTACACTAAATTTATTCAGTTCATTATTGAATCCTTATATTCTTGGAATCAGTGATTGGAAGACTACAGATCATATATTACAAATTATACAATATGGAGACTCACATATCTTTTTATATTTATAATAAATTTAGAGACTTAGAGTGTTAGTTAAGGAATTTAATCCTCAAGCTTTGAATATTGACTCTTCTAACTGAAACTACAACTCTAGTCTGCTGATTTATAGTTGTAACTTGTAAGAGTGTAAGAAGTAGCAAAGGACCCGCAATGTACACTATAAAAGAAAATGTCTAGTTGGGTTTTGTAGTTTAGCTGAGAGGCAGAAACTCAGAGTTTGCTTCCTTTTCACGGCTTTAAAGACATCGATTGATTGATGGGTGTGATGGATTCTCGATTTTTTCCTATTGTTTTCCCCACAACTATTTCCAAAGTTATTTTTCCCACATTTTCATTATGCATCAGTTTACATAATTATGCTATGAATGCTTGAACTGATTAACAGATTACAGACGCATGCATCCCGTTGTAACAGAATTTTTTAAATGGACCTGTGAATCTATTAGTTTATGTCCAAGGAATGTACCTATATTTTGATGATACCAATTTCATTTTACCATGTATATAATATGTGCGTAGCACTAATTTACATAGTACATATATAACATCGTATCGTAGGCCAGAAATATAGTATTATTGCGATAATACTCTCATAGAAATAATACTCTCACAGAACAATCATTTTAAAAATAGTACTATGACAGTGTAAGTTTCCAAAAAAATCTCATCCAGTTTCCGAAATATTTTTAGATATTCTAATCACCTAATGTTTCAAAGAAATATTTAATTTATAACACAAAGAAACTAACCTCTTATGTTACTACTAGACGCCACATCTTTGGAAATGGTCATTTTACAACTTAGATGTAACAATTTAATATTCCGATGATCATAACTATATTTCTTAGGCACTACCAAACATTAATCAGGACGTTAGATTTCAATTGCGCATATGATTTTTTGTTCAGAATTGTTTGACTTTTAGTTTAGGCTACGGTAATTTTATGTTTGGGCCTACCTAAATGACATCTGTAAGATTATGGGCTTAAGATAGAAATGAAGGAATTACATGAAAAACAAAACCATGTTTAAGTTAAGTAGGTTTGGCGAAACAAAGGGAATTGTATTTTTTTATCTCTATGGCGAACTATCATACTCATATCTTTGACATATCAACTTTTAAACCTATTTAATTAATTTCGCGTATATATATGGGCCAAACAGTTTTATTAGACTAAAATAAACAAATATCGCCACCAAGTTTTAGTTAACATTACAATCATTGTATAGTTCCATAAACATTATCGTCATTTTCTTTGTTTTGCCAAAGAAAACATAATAAAAAGGGAAATCAAATACCCTTATTAAATTAGTCCAAAAGCGACTATGCGACAAAATTAATTTGTCTTTCTACGGTGGTTTAATCCCGACAAGGTAATTTTCTTGTTTTGCTACTTCAATTTCACTACTCGTGAGTAGGACTATATTTGGTATGTCACAATTTTTCACATGCTAACTCCATAACGGGATGATCCCCCCCCCCCTCCCAAAAAGAAGGATTCAAAGGTAATGTTCATCGATATATTAATGCATTAACATTCTAAAGATCATATTTTATATGTGTAGTATATAAGTAGCCAACAAAATATTTAATAAAGGGAAAGGAAACTTCGTAATCCATTGCCTAGCCGTCACTCTACATAATTTCCACTCCAAAAGAATACAAAACTTATAATATAACAGCTCCAAAGAATCAATAGAATATATACATACAATGAACAATAGTTCGGTATATTACAAATTTAAAACTATATATAGTCAAAAACGTAATTAAACTAAAATAAACCAGCATCCTTCAATTACCCTTAACTTCTCTCGAGCATCCATAACTACAATCCTAGTTTATGTGCTGACCCAGCCAGGTAAACAACAACGAGCGCCTTATTAAAGATCTCATCATAAAACGTTGATAAGAAAAATTCACAATACAATTCACAAATGTTGCTTATAACAATAAACTAGTTATCTTATTTGTTAATCATAAGTCTAAAATGACCATTTACTTGTTAAAATAACCAATTAATAAAACATAACAAAACACACGAAAGAATATAATAATAATCGGAAACCATAATATATACCTCATCATATTAGAATTGTCCATGGATTTATAAAATTGGCTAGAAAAATTTCCAGCTTATTATATTGTATTCTTACCACACACACACACATAATATAAGTAGAGAGATGAATAGATTGAACACACACATAATTTATATACTCTCACATGTTACCTCCTTGCTGATCATGACCATTATTCCAAGGGAGAAAACTCCCATACGACCCTCCAGTACCACGTGGCTGCTGAGTCATCACCGGACTCGCCCCGGAAAGCCTATAAACCGGGTTCAACGTCTGTGGCTGAAGTGGCTGAGGCTGAAACACCATGTCGACGACGTTATTACCAGGTGGTGACGTGGACAGACCGTAGTGAGCCAAGTCAGCATTAGCAGCGTCGAGCTCCTTCTGAAGCCTATGCACTTGTCTCTGGAGGTAAGAGATGGCTCCGACGCAGCCATAGACAGGGTCACGGACCCGTGCCTCGGCCTCATAGGCTAAGGAGTTCACCGCGTCTTCACGCTGGTGAGGGAGTAGCTCGTTGAGGAGCTTGGTGACGTTGCTTGCTCCGAATATTTTGTGGACGTTGGCGAATTTGTGTGGCTCCTCTGGTGGGAAGTATGGCGCGAATATGCATCCCGGCATGCATTTGCGGCGAAGAAACTTGCACGCCGCGCATGGTGAGTTGTATGTATTTGATGATGAGGATGCCATTTGCTTTTGAATTCGTATACCTAATATTAAGTTTTAAAACATTTTTTTAACATTAACAAAGAAGAAGTTAAAACATATATACATAGGAAGGTTTTTTTGAGTTTGCTACTTGCTAGAAAGGTTTCATAAAGAAAAAATAGCACTAAGTGCGTTCCTCCCGGGCAGACCGGATCAGCCGATAGGGTTTATCAAAATATAAAAAAGCTTTGTTTCTTGTATATTGCTACACTAAGAACATACATATTCGATTACTTAGTTCCTTTTGTGAATTTCGGCTAAACATTTCATTTATTTCCTTTTCACGTTTTTCTTTATATACATACAGACAAAGGCATAAAAACACTTGAGAGACACAAACGTACACATGTAGGAAAAACGTAGATATAGGGACATAACATGCCCAACATCCAATCTGAAGGAAAAAAAGAGTGGAAATTGAATTTACAAAACCTAATTAAAGATCTTTAAATTGAAGATTTAATTAACAAGTAATTGAAGATTTACGCCAGATCCACCAGGACATATACTGGTAAATGGATATATCAATTTGGTTTTACTTGGTGTTTTTGTTATTTACATCTATAATAAAAAGAAAAACTTAAAAGACTCTTTTCTTCTGTTATTAATAAACCTCATTAACATAATATACAAAACTTATTAAGTATAACTTTATATTTTTAACTACTACATAAATAATATGTAAATTATGAAACCTGGTCTAATTTAATATAGACAACCATCAGTTAGCCAAAAACTAAACTGATTATTACAGATCATAGCTTCTTAAATATCTCACTAGAAACAATAGAAGAAATTTATCAAAAGCGGATAGTTTCGATCAAAATTTTCTTAACATGGTATATATGTGGCTATAATCGACACATATATGGATCAATTAGGACTCAGTTCAAATTATATGAGACTGGAAGTGTTTGTACATCTCCTTTGAGAAAAGGTCGAGTGTTTTTTCTTTTTACCCAAAAAGGCTCTAGTGTTTTTTTTTTCTGTCAGATCAATGAATTTGTATATCTCTCTGTATATATCAATATTATTTATATACATACTATCTATATTTTTGTGCAAGGTTTGATATATAGTGTATTTTTTTTTACTAAAATCAATTTTGTCAAGAAATCATTTTTCCTTTGTGATTCAGTTGTGCCTTTATGTGCTTTGCAATCATCTTCATCTTCCTCATTCTCCTCAATTCTATAGCTTTATTTAAAAAAAAAAACTAATTACATTGAAAAGAAAACTCAACGAGGATCCTTTAAACTCTATTTGTAATTAAGCTCAAAAATTAATTAGACTTGATCACAGAAATATTTTTAAATTTCAAAAGTTTTCATCTGTAAATCAGTTAATTAAACTATCTCCCTCTATTTCTCTGTTTTCTGTCCTCATTGTCCTTTTCGAGTTGAAGCAATTCTCCACTAACCTCAAATCAATCTCAATTTGCATATGTATGTATAAAGTTTTATCTGATCTTAATTAGGTCAACTCAAAGTGATCATTGTTCTAATTGAAAGTAAAATTTACACATGTATTTACGAATATCCTTTTCACATATGCTATTATTACATAACTTTAAGTCTTTCTTAGAGAAGAAATTCATAGGAACGTGTACAGAAATGTCAAAGCGGATATATAACTCATATAAGCAATCACACAGAAAGTAGAACATGGAGCAAAGGAGGGAAACATAGAATAGAAAAAAATAATGATTATCTTTTATGATCCGAAGCTATGCATACGTCCAGTGATTTATGTAGATGCATATATATATATATATACATATCAAAGCGGATATAGAGCCATACATATATATACCTGCCTTTAGATCTTTAGGCTATTTGACGATCTAAGTGTACCTTTCTTCCTCTTTCAACGGCTTTTTTCTTACCTTTGAAATTTGCTTCCAAAGTAGATATAGTAGGTTTAACTCTTTAGTCAATGAGAAGAATATATTAGGGTTTTTTAGTCCTCTGAAGGAAAGGGGAACCCTAATTTCAAGAAGAACTGGGAAAGATTTGTATAGAAGCTGAGAATTTAAAGAAACCAAACAAACAAATAAAAAGGGAAAATGAAAGAGAAAAATTGAGTGGAGAAGGAGAAAGAGCAAAAGACAAAGTAAAATAATAGCAAATGAACAAATAATAAACAGGAAGCGATGAGAAGGTATGTCCCTCAAAGAATGACTGTGACATTTCATCTCAAGAATAATAGTAATATCATTCACTGTGCTCACTTTTGTCTCCCAATAAATTAATTTGTTTAACTTTAGCTTTTGTAAATTTTCTTCATGCATTTAATGATAACAATATTCCCTAACAGTCAGAAGATCAACCCTAAGCTGACTAATCAATAATTTTGAGTGTATGTACCTGTTACGCTGATGAGTGATGACCAAATTAAGACTTGGAATCTTAAGAAACCCTAAACATCTCCATTGAATCTCCTGTAGAATATGTTCACAATAATCCCTTATGATTTGCAATGGGATCAGCGAAGTATTATTTAGAATATGAATACTTCCTGTAGAACAAACGATCAGTCGAAGCAATTCGAATTCGTATGGTCAATATTGTATTCTTCAGTAATTTTTTACATCGTAAACTTAATAGTTAATAGTTGATTTGAATATTCATTTCTTTGTAGTAACAAAATAGTTCTTCAGTTTAATTAATCAAAATAATATATATTTATGTGAACAAGAATAAACTCTTGAGACCTCAAAGTAGTTAGGTAGAGACAGGAGATCGGTAAAAGTCAAGAGATATCATGTGAACTCAAGTCAAGTTTAAATAGGTCTTATAAAATCAAAACTTTTGTATGGCAAGAAAACTATGAGGGGCTCCAAAGAGTTTTGAAGCTATGGCTAGGGTTAGTATCATACCAACAGTTACTTGTGTTAGAGTATATATTATTGGAAGTGACAACCGATTGTGACATTTGTAACCGTGCCTTCGTCTTATTTAGTTCTCGCACCATTTTCATCACCAAATAGTTTTAGCCTAAAATCAAATTAATTATTAGAGTTGACCTGCAGTTAATCTTTGATAAGAATTATTGTATATATCAGGTTAGTAGTTTGAGCTGAACCTCTCAGAACGCTGTTGATTTTTGAAGATAAGTTAGACAGCAAAATTCACCTCATTAGAAACTTTAACCGAATGCTTTTAAGATCCGTTAGATTATTATTTTGTGCCAAGCTATGATGAGGGTTAGTGGTGGGATTAGTAATTTACTAAAGTGAAGCATCTAGGCTTTATCACCAAACTAATTTTTTCACCTTTAAAATTCTAATTATTGTGACTAATAGAATGAATTAGGGTTCGGAAATAGAGGTCATTTTCTTTTCTAAAAGAGGAAACTAGTGTCGTTCTCTTTGTTAACACAGAGTTCATTTCTTATTACTTACCAGTATGATGCAACAAAATGGTTCATACCTAACTCGAAAAATCTCAATCTTGTTGATTTGTGCATTTACATGGCTAAATATCATATTCAACAATGAATCGTGAAAAAAAAAATCGAGTATTCATCGACTTTCTTTTAAATTAAAATGGCATTAAATATAACTGACCATTCATATTGGTTATATATCATTTGAGGTCGTATCTTACTTTCGATGTAGTATCAACATTTAATGAAAAGAAAGCTTGACAATTATTAACCATCAAAATAGCTATTTAGAATGGGTGTAGATGTGTATATATCCCTTCAACGTAGAGGTTACATATCGGAGTACTAAAATAAGAGAAGTGGTGTTATAAAAGGTTTGAAAAGAGAGAGAAAGAGAGTGAATATATATGGGTCCTCCTCACACATATGAGCTACTAAAACTAGACTAGTACTACTTTGTCCCTCGCATTATCTTTTCGTGCAGTTTAATTTTGATTTAATTCAATCCTTGTGAGTTGTGACTCTGAATCTCTAGAAACCACATTGGATATATGGTCTCGTTTGAAACAGCACACATATATAAGATATTAATGAATCTTCATGTGTTGATTATGGAGAGAGGTCAATGATGCAACTTGGTGAACAGTTTTGTGAATATGTCATTTTGTTTGTTTTTATATGTGCAGAATGGAATAAAAAGTAGCTTGCGATCATGAATACGCAACACATAACCTTTAGAAATAAAAAAAAGGAGAAGTTTAATGCAGTAATTAAATTAACATATTAAACATTAAGATTTCTTTTTTAAATACAGGTACTAGAATTACAACCTAATTTATCTATTGTGGTTAATTTATGTTTTATAGAAACTGACGAGTGACGACAATGTAGAAATTTTGTTCTCCCTCGGGATTGCTTATATCTTTGCAATAACACGTATGTTCGTTCAAAAATATTGTCAACCTGACTTTCAATAATTATCAATTCTTTCTAATATATGATCATGAAAATGATATGAAGATATACTGTTCATGGCCTATTAGCGATCATGAAAAATCTGGTGTTTTTCTATTGTATGTGTGTACATGTTTAAGCGAAATGCATAACTTCATATGCATTTATGAGTTAAAAGCTAAGGGTTGCCCAAGTATAATAGTTATATATCAAAATGGGCTTTGGGAATGTAGAGATATGATATTTATTCCATTACTTGCTATAGAATTTAAATCCTATGTCTTCATAATGGTGAAAAGATTATAAGAAAATGTAAACCTAGGGTGTTTATAAAACTCCAAGTATACTTTTCAACTAATTGGAATTTGTATCCTATGGGGCAAAAGCCTATGGTAAGCACGAAGCATGCGCTTAATTTAATATCTCTAGATCAATGTGGTTAATAAATGATTACCAAAAAAAAATGTGGTTAATAAATTTTGCTAGCAGTGGTACGTGGTGATGATGTAGCTAGTGACTGTAGACTGTAGTATATATATATCTTCTTTTTGTGTGATAAAAGTCTAGTCTATATCTTATAGATGTAACACATATTGATTATCAAGAACTTCTAGAAAACAATTAAGAGCTAGATTAAGATGCTGAGATAAATAATGAGATTGTAATTCTTTTGCCTTGTGATAAAGCTTCATAGATGATCAACGCATCCTTGGCCATGGCTGCTCCTAATAATGGCTTTTGTAGGAAAAAAAAAGCAACTATAAAAGGAATGAATTTTCTCTTGTTTTAATTGAATGGTAATAGAAATACATTCCTATTAAACAAGTCTTGAGGCCAAAACCAAAACGTTTCTTTGCAAAAAAAAGTTTCACATCATCAAGAATCATTTCCCTAACTTTTTGACACTAAACCAAGCTGGTTTCAGGACGATGGGGGATCCACCTCTGCCTCTGCGTTATCATCTTCCATTTCATCTTCCCCTGTAGAGTCCCTGAAAAGATCAGAGATGTCTATTAGATTCTCAATCACTATGTTAAAGAAGGGATCAAGGATTTGGTAGATTGGTCTTTTTATTTTTACCTGTCCATAGTTTGGCCATCAATACCTGATAAACCAACAAGAGGTTTCTCATCATCATCACTGTCTGATTCATAAGTCGCAGTTCCACTCCAGATGCGAGGCTTTGGTCTCTGCTCCAAATCTTCTTCCGGCTAGACAACAACAACAAAAGAAATCTAATGAGTCTGTCCCAATAGAACTTGAAGAAACTAAAACAGCAGAGAGAAGATACACATCAATGGTCGATTGAATTTTTTTTACCTCATCCAAGACTCGATTAACTGGAGGCGTGTGCTGAAACGGCACACTAGGTGCGTGTATTAGTCCCGAAAGTTGTTCTAGCAATGTGTTCCTGAAATTTTCAACAAGTTTTTTTACTTCCCTAAGTTCAAAAATATTCTATTGAGGAGACTATGAGCATGTAAAGCTTTACCAAAAAGATAAAATCCTAAGTTACATTTAAAGACTATGCAGGAGATTGTACCTTATCTTCTCCATATCTTTAGGTGTGTTCAAATTCTCCATTGGACCTGGCTCGACATGAAGTGTATAGTCTGGTCCGAAATACTCAAAGTACTCATTGTACGGGAGCTTGTTATCCGGCTCAACTCCAACCGCAACTGCAGTCTGCAACAGAAACCAAACCTTTCAAGAAACAAAAACTTTACCAAAAAGGCATAGAACAAGCGCAAAAGATATGAAAAAAAGACCTCATAACACCAGCAACGAGCAACATTACGAATAGTATACCCTCCACCACCCAACACCATGAGAGGAACATTATAAGATCTCAAGAACCGGAGACAATCAGCATGACCCTTGACCGACAAGTTAAAACAACCCAACCGATCACCGCTTAAGGAGTCAGCCCCACATTGAAGAACAACTGCTTCTGGCTGATAAACCTCCATAACCTTCTGGATAAGAGGTCTAAACAAGCTCCGGAAACTCTCATCGTCCATGCCCTCGTTCAACGGAACATTGAGAGCATAGTACTTCCCTTTCTCCGAGCCAACGTCTCTGATGTGACCAGTTCCTGGGAAGAAGTCCCCAAACTTGTGAAAAGAAACGGTCATAACTCTATCAGTGGTGTAAAACGCTTCTTCTACTCCGTCTCCATGGTGCACATCGATATCAATGTAGACAACCCGCTGCAAAAAAGGTATTTGATAATGATGAAATCAATGGTGGAAACCAAACAAATTCAAAAATCATCTGATCTACTTGATCAACAAAAACTACTCTACAAGATAGAGTTAAACCCTAAAACGATGTCCAAATCAGTCTAGGCGGCATCTAATCGTCTACCTAGCCGGCAAATCGGACTTATATGAAACAAATTTTTCTAGAAAAGTTTTAGAAAATATCAGTTTAGGCATTCAAAAAATCGGTCAAGATGTCGTTTCCGTAGCAATCAGTCTAGGCGGCGCCTAATCGTCCACCTAGGTGGAAAATTGGACTTTAGACGAAACAATTTTTCTAGAAAAGTTTAAGAAAATATTAGTCTAGACATTCAAAAAAATAGGTCGTTTCCATAGCAAATCAGTCTAGGCGGGCGCCTAATCATCTACCTTGACAGAAAATTGGACTAGAAAAGATTTTAAAAATATCAGACTAGGCATTCAAAAATCGGTCTAGATGTTGTTTCCG